AGAGAGAGAGAGAGAGAGAGAGAATGAACAGTAGGCCTGTAGGACTCTGCTAGAAATATGTCCCGTTGGATTATTAATCCCCATTAATAATTACTTTTTGAGATCTATCAGTTATCCAGTTATTAAATTAGTTTGATAAGGGTTACATTTATTTCATAGAGTACATTTGTTTTTAATGACACTGCCATGGGGGATTATGTCACATGCTTTGTAGAAATCAAAGTAGGTTTTATTTGTTAAAATACCACCATCTCACTCAAACTTGTGGTCACATTGATAGTCAGTTTTGCAAGACTGCTTCAAGTTTATTTCTACAAAATCTTGGATTTTTGGCATTACTTATATTTCCTTCATCACATTTCAGCTTGTTTATGATCTTGCCCAAATGGCCAGCTAACCAGCCTATAATTCCTGGATCATTCTGATTACCCTTTTAAATATTGGTACAACATTAGCTTTTTTCTAGTCTTCTGAAATTTGCCAAGTATTCTACATATTGGCAGATATCAATATCTCAAAAGCTCCATAGCCAAGTCTTTAAGAATTCTTGTATGTAAATTTCCTGGTCCTGGCAACTTAACACAGTTGCAAGGCAGAAGAGAATCAGGCTCTTTAATTCTGAAGCAAACACACTGAAAGCCTGTTTAAAAGCTTGTATACTGCTATTCATTCTACATGATTGCAGCCTTACAGGGCACATATACAGGAGGAGCTAGCTTGGGTGCTGAAAGCTGAATAGATGGAGTTAGTCCAGAGCTCTGTCCAAGCTTCTCAGCAGTGTAAATTAGCATAGGAGCAGGAACACTAACATAACTATACTGCTGCTTGTACTTCATTCAGAGCTAGCTCAGGTGTCTTTATCTGGTGTATGAAGGCATTCCCATATAAATTTTTACTTCTTTTTGTGGTATCTCTACTTTTTCTTTCCTGTACTTGCAACATTGCAATGTGAAAATGGGATCACCAGTGTTTGGGAAAATGCCTTATAGGAAGAAGAGTCCAGTGTTTAACTTATTAAGAAGATAGGAAGGGTCTCTGAGTGGTTCTAGCACAATATGCATACTCTGTTAAAAACTAAAAAGCAACGCATGCAGTTTTCATTTATGAGGGGGCAAAGTTTGTAGGTGTCTGTGCCTGCCCATACTCTTAGCAAATCTAACATTTTCACATGCAGAAAATTGTATGTGCAAGTATTTCCACATATGGTTTTCAAAACCTGATCAGAAAGGCTTGGGGCTAAATTTAGGCTCTTGAAGTTGATTCTCCATAGATAAAATTGAGTATTGATGCCATTATGCTAAGAATACAGGAAGTGTGAATAGCAAAAACAATTATGAAATCAATGTACGTGATCTTCTTCAAATACACATTCCAGAATGAGTTGTACCTTTTGTCAAACTCTTCTGATGAAATGTTCTATACATTTCAGATATCCTTTACCTCCCCCGCTCAAATAAAAAAAAAATCAGTTTATAAGAGCTGAATCCTGCTTTTAGAGTGTAATACCTCAGATAGGAGTGCATGCAACCCAAAGGAAAACCAAGATCCCAAGCTCTCACCTGAAGCTTTAATTCACGTAAAATTCTCCAGGTAAAATAGGAGCTTTTTTTACAGAGTTTTAACACTATATTTTAGTATCATATGATCTATCAGAGAATTCATATATGCTAAAGTTAAGAGAAATATGGACCCCAAAAATCAAACATACCCACACTCAGGTACAAATATATGTTTAACTGCTTCAAGTTTAGTTCTTCCTGTCCTATACATACTTTTCTGTTTGTTTGGTCATCGTGCCTACTGTATCATCTATTTATGAGAAGAACATTGTAAGCTTATGCTGAATTATCTACACTCTCTACACATTGAAACAGCAGAGACAAGATGTAGGAACTTGTAGGAACACTGTCAGAGCTCATCAAAACTGACTTATTGCTGGGGGTGGACAGACCTTAGGTATACCCCTATTACATGGTACATATTTCTAGCTCTTACAAAATCTTGACAATATGTGACATGGTGATCTCCAGTTGGTTTTCTTTTGTTCTGAACAAGCTTTTAAAGGCTGCTTATCTAAATCATCACTTAACAGCTAAATTAAGCTACATGTACACAAACAGCAGTGCCAAACCCTTTCAGAAGGTTTCTGAAGGTTTAAACCTTTCAGAAGGTTTATTTCACGGTCAGGGCGGCTAGGGTCTGGAACCAGCTTCCAAGGGAGGTGGTGCAGGCTCCTACCCTGGGGGTTTTTAAGAAGAGGTTAGATGAACACCTTGCTGGGGTTGTTTGACCCCAGTACTCTTTCCTGCCGTGGCAGGGGGTTGGACTAGATGATCTTCTCAGGTCCCTTCCGACCCTAGAAACTATGAAACTATAAGAACTCTGTTATTGTTCTTCCAAGGTTTTCAGAGAAAGTCAACAATAAAAAGACAGTCAACAAAGTTAATTATAAGTTCATTTCCATGAGATTTTTTCTGAATGAAAATATTGGGTAAGATTTTCTGAAATGCTCCCATTGAAACTGATAGTAACCCCCACTCTACCTTGCTGCCTTCAGTGGAGGCAATCAGGCCATCTTCAAAATAATGGAAAGTTCTACACATCAGTTTCGTGCAAAAAAACAACCCGGGTTATCAGTACTACATTTGTACGCATGCAGAGTTTGGGAGAAACAAACATTGTCAGTTGGATTCCTATCAAACAGCAGCAAAATTCACGTAGTGGTTTCTGGTAATTTGTGTTCACTTGCACAGAAATACAGTTAAAGGGATTCATTCATTCCCAATTTGCTTGGATTAGCTTCTGCTGGCATAAAGCAAGGCACCATGTCTTTGCAGTTGGAAAGCTTACTTGGGATGTGGAATGTGAGATGTGCTGGTGGTAAAAGGACATGGACCAAAGCAGGCTGAGGATGCACCAGGTGGTGCTCCTACACTGCCCAGGTTCCAATGGAGCCTGACCAAAGGCCATCACCACCTTGCCCTTTGCTTAAAACAACTCCCCAAAGCAGCACAGGAGACCTCCCTGGTGCAAACAGACTGCAGCTTGTACTTCCCTACGCCAAGCAACATGAATTTATAAAATGAACAGCAGCATATGTGAACACATTTTATAAGATAAGAAGAGGAGTGGCTAATGCCACAGAGGATTCCCAGAGCAGAGGGAGTCCATTTGAAGGCAGGGCCGTATCTATCAACGCCGTCCTCAAGCTATTACAGGATTAAGACAGAAGTGACAACACACACACGGCAGTGTAAAAACTTAAACACAATAAGCAGAATAACCATTATGCATAAGTACAATATGTGTATTGCTAGCCTAGCACATAAGAAATGCAACGAGCTCAAAAAGCCTCTCCGAACAAGAAATTCCTGCAAAGACTTTCTAACTTCAGATGGCAAGTTGCAAACTGGCAGAACCATAGAGCAAATAACTGGGAACAGCCAGAGCTGAGACACTGGAGCGAATGCAGCCGAGTGCCAGACGGGGTGAGCGACTGCACGCTCCTTCTGACAACAGTTGCCTTCTGCTTCCAAGCAGCTTGCAAGATGTCTTCAGGTTCGGGGGCTTTCCCAGGATTTTGCTTGGATGCCATGCTCGGGTCCTCCCCAAGTTACTGAAGAAGGAACAACTTTCCCCCTTGTTCAAAGTGCTTGACATCGCCATCTCCACTTGAGATCTTGTTCCTCCCTCTCCTCTACCTCCTGCCAGAAAACCCTCCGTCTGAGCCTAACCCCTTCCCAGGCTGTCCGAAGGGTGCCTATCCTGCAGCCCAGCCGCGCCAGCCCGCTCGCCTGCACGGAGCCCCAAGCCGAGGCAGCCCGGCGAGCCGGGAGCGAGCGAGGGAACACGCGGCATCCCCGGGATTTCTCTCTCGACCCACTCCGCGTCCCCCGCCCGCGCCCTCCCCGGGGAAAGCCAGTGCCCGCCACGGGGAATTTCAACCGCAGGCGGCGGCTCCGCCCGGGCACAGCCAGCCCCGCAGGGGTCGCCTCGTCCCCGGCGCGCGGGGCGTCTCGCCGG